GGGGGGGGGGGGGAAATGAAAGCAAGAGAATTTTAGACACAACAATAATACAAATACTATTTAAGCAAGCAGGTATTGAATTTCTGTCTGATTTTCATTACTGAGCTACATCATTACTTGATCATTTTGCAATTAAAAATGTTAACATTAAAATGTAATTTTTATTTAACAGAAAATATTTGTTACTTTTTTAAGGAAAAACAAACTTTTAATATTAAAAACAAATGGAAAAATATTAATTTATGAAACTTAATCTACTGATTTTCTCTCAAAACTGATTTCAGTCCCCAGGACTGAAGAGTGGCACCCATGCTGTATAATTCAATTTACAGTGTAAAATTTCCATGGAGAGAATTTTTTTCTTCGAGTTATTAATTGAATTATTCTTTACTTTAAATTGTGTGTTCTTACATCTTGTGTGTACTTATTTTTTCTGTTATATATTGCAATAAATAATGTTCTGGTCTTCATTTATCATTGATAATGTTTATGGTCGATATTGTGGTAAAATAAACATTTTGCTACCCTTTTTGTGGTGTTATTTTAAAATTTTTGTATACATTTATTTTACATTTTCATTTAATGCTTCTCATTTTAATTCTAGCTGTGTGCATCTGTGGTCTTAAAAGATCCTTTGTCTGCTGACAAAGTAAGGTTTATACATTTTATTTTTAAAATTTGCTTATTTAAGCATAAGATATGAAATATGCAATATTTTTTCAAAGCATACACTGCACATGCTTATGAACTTTAATTCATTTTTAGTGAAAATATCTAATGTATTTAGCAACAATTTTCTTTATGTATTAAGGCAAAATCCATATTGGAAAAAGCTCTGAAACAGGATCCTACATATCTCAATGCTGTTTATATGCTGGCAACTATATATGAACAAGAAAGACTCTATGAAAAGGGAATAGAATTGTATGTCGATTTTTCTTTTTTCATTGAAATGCATAAGTCTAAGAACTTTATTTTTATAATAGTTAATAAAATTAAAAATCGATCAAACATTTCTTGCTATTTGTAAAAAAATTATGAACTTACCAGATTGTAAGCCTTTGCAAATTTTTTTTCTCTTAAACATTTGAAACAATTTTAGTCATTGCTTTGTTTTATTTAAAGGAATTAATGAACTTTAAATTTACATTTTGTATGAAGCACTTAGCATGCTTACACCTGTCATTCTTGTACAACTGATGTACAAGGCCTTCTTAGAAGTGTATAATACTAAAAATTAATATACTTTGAATTTAGGTCTGTGTAATGTCTATCTTAAAGTAATTTTAGATGAAAAATTTGAAATATTTATATAATTTTTTAAGCAGTTTAAAGGTTATTTTCTAAATTATATTATTTAAATCTAAAAGTAATTGTTTCATTGTGGGAGAGTCAAAAATCTAGAACATTTATTCCAAGTTAGTAATTTAATTATAATGAAGTATAAAATTTTAATGTAATATAATTTTTAATTTAGTTCCTTTATCTAAGTTTTTTTTTTATTAAATAGTAAATTCATGTGTAACTACATTAATAAATACCTATATAGAATTAATAATTAAGTAAGTTGAGTTAATTTGAATTTCGTAAATGCTATCCTGTATATATTTCTGTGTTATATTTCTGATTACTGATAACTAGTTAAAAAAATTGGCACCTCTGAGAAATGATTTAATCTATTAACTGTGGTCATCAACAGTGCTCTAAACAACTAGTTAGGTTAGTTAGAGTTCATTTGGAAGACAGATAGTAAAGCTACAATTTCTTTAAAAAATAATTAAACTAAGTTATGGATAATTCTCTATTAACAAATTAAAAAAAACTTAAAATTTCCCTTTAAAATGTCTAACAGTTACTTCTTATGATTAGTTACACTGAAAAGTGTTTTTATGACAAATGCATCGTATTCTTCCATTTATTTTTAATTGTGTATTTGTTTTATGATAACTTTTATAATATACTGGGTTGTTACTTAATCTTCATGATTGTTTACAGACTGAGGAAGCATACTGAACATTCAACAACCTGTAGACTTCATCAAATGTTGGGTGACTTTCTAGCAAGAACAAATGAACATGAAAAAGCTTTGCACCATTTTAGTATAGCCTTAAAGTAAATTACTTTACTAAATTTTTAGTTTATGCTTGTCTTTAAAAAAAATTTTTACAATTTTTCTTGGTTGGTTTCATTTATTTATTTTTGTCTTATGTTAACCTTGAACGTGAACACCATCAATATACAATGAATAACGCCCACTATTGTTATTGATTAAAAATTATTGTATGTAATATTGATAATTTTGTGTTTCTGAACTGTATTGGACTGCCCATCATAAACAGATGTTTTATGTGTCTATATATAATGGAAATAATCTTAAAAATTATGTAATTGCAGCATGGATCCATCCAATCATAAGGCTGCTGAAGGAAGCCAACGAGTAGAGCAAAATCCTGAATCTTCTGAAAGCTTTGAGGTGGAAGATATGCCTGAATCTGATAATGAGGTAATAAAGCTTTATTATTACAAAATTGGCACTAGTCTAAAAATTAAAACTGCAGCTCTAATTTAAAATCTCACAGTATACATGTATAATTTCACATTGTATAATTCACATTATACAAAAGCTTTTCGTATTTTATGTTTATGTATAAAGTATACATCTGAATTTTTGGCAATTTCACATAACAATGCATGTTTTTGCACTGGTATCAAAATTACTTTTTGAGTTGACAAAGCACAAATAAACGAAACAGGGTGCATAGAATTTTTAAAAAGTGCTTAAAGGTGCTTTTTTCATTGGGTGTCTTTAAAATGAGATTTTTCCTTCATTATATTGATTTTCGCTCCGCATTCTCTTATTTTTTGTTGAATAATTTGGCTACAGACCCTGATGAATTATTTAATTGCATATTTTAAAATAGAAAAGTAAGTAGTTTTAGTAATTAAAATTTTGTGAAAAATCTCTTTTTAGTTTAGGGGCCGTTCAAAAAGTACGTACATCCCGATTTGCTATTTTGTACGATGGGGAAGGGGGAGGTATTATACAAATGACGTACATTATAAGCATACACTAAATTTAAATTTGACTTTTTCCTACACACTCCCTAAAAAAAATATTTAATTTTTATGAAAAGGGGGAGGGGTAGACTAATAAAATTTACGTACTCTAGGGGGAGGTAAGACCTTATGTACAGTATTGTACGAAAGGAGGAGGGGGTTAAAATTTCTCCATTTTTTTTTTGTACCTGCTTTTTGTAGCTTAGTCAGAAATTCAGGGGGGGGGATGTACGAGTCAGAATTTAGGTTATTTTTCACCAGACATTAATAATATATGATAATCTGCTATAAACACAGAAAGATTGATAATTTATTGAAACCCATTTATATATTTATTAAAAGATATAAGATTAACTTATATTTTAGTCTTCAATTAATTAAAAACATTAATGGTAGATATAAACGTGCATTACAGTAAAATCAACTTTAATGACCTCTTAACAATGGCAACTCCGAAGAACGTCATATCTTAATGGAACAAAACATCTTTCATAGGATTTTACATTAAAAGGAACCTCTGAACATTGATTTCTGAATAATAGCCATCTGTTGCTAGCATGAATTTTGTTTCAGTCAACTCAAATACTACTGATATATTCAATACCTGATTTTAAATATCTCAGTCAACTTATTATTTTTTTTTTCTTTCTTAGTTAGCAATATTTTTTTAATTGATCACTCCTTCAGGCTAAACATTGAAGGTTTTCCTCTTAATGTAACACAATATCACATTAATTTAATCAAAAAAAATCCTCCATGAACACTAATTTGTACAGATGCTTAAACCAAAAGTTCCCTCATCTTATGAGTTGGGCTTAAAATTACAAGGCTACTGCGTTTAACATTAATAGTTGTAAACCCAAATTTGGGTCAGTTGTTCAAAGCAGATTATAAACTAAAATAAACCAAACTTACATCTCTAAACTTTCATCATATTACAGCTGTTGTAAAAATTCTTAAATATTAATACAGAAATCAATCATAGATAAAATTTGTTGAGTTCTTTTTTAAACAAAAAGGAGAGAAAAATACCTAAGCTAATTTTATAATTATAAAAACTAAGTATGTTTTAATGAATCCTACTAATGGTTAAACAATTAATTCATCCCATAGCACGCAGTTAAATTTGCTGCCCAAAAGCTTGTGGGGAAAAAGCATTTACATTTTTTAATGTGTTCTTAAACTAAGTAAAAACTCTTTAATTACTTGTCTTTGATGGTTACTGTGCAAGAAATTGTTCAATTTATTTGGAGATGTGGTTAATTTGGGAAAAGTAGAACACTATGTAGAACACAAAAGCAGAACATGTGTTTCTGGAATGACAGCCAGACAACATTTCAAGTCTATCCTAAGATTGATAGACAGTAAAGAATCAGTGTACACACTATAATAATGGTTATTTTGATAAATCAAATTTTAAATTTAAAGCATTTCAACAATTCCAATTTACCTCGAATGAGAGGATAAACTCAAATTAGTAATCTAGATTGCAACAAGCACTGCCGGCTTGTGAGAAATAAATTAATGGTTAAACAATAATTTCATCACATTAAATAGCCGGCAGTTAAATTTGCTGTTCGAAAGTTGTGCTCTATGCTTATGGGGAATTAAAGCATTACCATTTTCTAGGTTAAATAAAATTGCCATTTTGTCATGTGTTCTTAAGCCAAGTAGAAACTCTTAATTACTTCTCTGTGTTGGTTACTGTGAAAGAAATTGCTCAATTTATTTGAAGATGTGGTTAATTTGGGAAAAGTAGAACACTGACTGCTTAAATCTACCACCACATTTACGGTGGAATAACGTGTTTCCGAAATGACAGCCAGACAACATGTCTACAGTTTCAAGTCTATACCATGATTGATAGACAGTAAAGAATCATACACACTATAATAATGGTTATTTTGGAAAATCTTACACCAAAAAAAGTTAAATTATCTTGAGCTTCAATGCTAAAATCAGGTGAACTTTGTGTGATTACAAAATTTAGAGCATGTTTGTGTAGAAATAAACTATAACTCACTTGTTATGGATTAAATGAAAAGGACGTAAAATTGCTTTAATAATTGTATTTACTAAAATATTTGGAAAAAAAATTCATAATTGTTATTTGATCTATTACATGGTGCATAGAGTTTTTAAAAAGTGTTTACTTTATTATCTTAATTTTCCCATTTCAAGAATTAGATTGTCACCATGCATTACATAAAAGCGTGGTTTTCACATTCATTCAAACACAATGCATTTCAGCGCACATCAATCTTTATACATGGTTGACGTAATACTTGTGTGCTTATATTGAGTCGAGTTCGGTGAGATTCTTGAAAAATGCAACTCTGCTGCATTTTCAATTTCAGGCTTCATTTTCCGCTCTCAGAAATCAAACTGAAAAATCTACAGATCTTTTTATGGTGGCTAATATGATTAAGAAAATAGTTCTTTGTCGAAAACTAATTATTTTATCATGATCCTGTTACGTCTTTGAAAATTATTTTGCATTTTCTTAATATATATATAATGCTTGAAAATATTTTAGTTCTTAATAAGTACTTATTTTTTGTTGAAAGATTTGGATTAATTTCGATTTTATTACTGGTATTAAGTGAATTGTGCTGATTAAAATTGGAAATGGTATATAATGTAAATTTAATTTTGATTTTTTTTTTTTTTAAACTTAAGGGTGATTTTGAAGAGAGTGAACTTGAACCAGTATGGTCAGATGTAGAATTTACTTGAGCTGATTGTAGATCTGCCTATGTAAATACAATATTTCATTTAATGTTTGTAATTATTCATATTTTTTGCTTTCCATTTGTATTTATTGCAAACGAAATAAAATTTCAAATTTATTACTTTTTTTTTAATTGAGTCGTTCTCTGGTATTTAACAGGGTTGCCACTCCACCTGGAAAATACAGGAAATTTAAAAATCCCCTAAAATAACAGGGAATTTTGATTTTTTTCTTTACAAACTGGGAAAATACAAAGAATTTTGTTTCTCATTTTTGTTTTTTAAAAAATGGTAACCAGTCAAAGCATAATCTATAGGATATTTAACCATGATATTTCAGCTATACTAAGTAATTCATTTTCTCTAGCACTATTTAAGTATGTTCAGCTGTTTTTTCAGTATCATAAATATAGTTAGTCCAATATAGCTCACACAGGAGCACAGTAATTGTTGTTTCCTCTTAATATATGTACAGGGAATTCTTTTTCCAGATTTGAGTGGCAACCCTGTTTTAGTACCGTTAAACTTGCTCATAATGAATCCTAATTAAACAAGAACCTGGATTTAATGATACAAATCGAAAATACTTGTTTGGTATAGCGTTGAAATCTAGTAGACCCAAGTTTTAGTAAGCAATATTTTTGTGATTTATAAAATTTCTAGCTTAGTGAATCCTTAGTTGAACAAATTTGTTTAACATTCTGGAAAAAAATGGAAGCTAGAATGATTATTCGATCAGTAAATACATGAAATTTTTACAAATTAAGATATGCAAAGCTGGGCTACTAGTCCTGTTTGAAGAACAAAGAGACAATAGGAAAGTTCAAATTGAACTAACTTAACACAAAAAATAAAATCGTATTCAGTCAAAGATTATATGTGCTAAAGATTTCAAATTATTAAATATTATTTCAAATTAATTTGTAAATTAACAATCTTAACAATTTTTTAGAATGAATTTTCCCCCCCAAAGATAACTATTTTAAGGTAGTTTGTTTTGGGCTTTTATTATTTGGTTCCAATTTTAATTGGTTGGTTATGCAGCGCATCTATGGAAAATTATGGTAGATATATAATCAAATAAAAAATACTGATTTGCTAAATTCATTTTGACATAGTTTTAATTTCTTTCCAGTGCAGTGTTTTCATTACAGAAAAAAAAATGAGAGAGAATTTCTCACCCGTTCTCAAAAACAGGGTGAGATCTCAAAAAGTTAAGTGAGATTTCTAAAAATTAAAATAACTAGAATAGACTTGGAAAAAAATATTTCTTTAATTATAATACATTTTTAACATCTAATTTTTAAAGCACTGAATATTTCTGCTGCATCATCATATGAAAAACGTTCTATATCTACTTTTTCATCAGCTATTCTCATTAGTTTGCTCGAATGTTTATCAGTCATTTGTATAAGATATTTTGTCCTAATTCGGTTTTGAGTGCTAAATGACCTTGCAACAGATGCTGAACAATTCGGCATCTCTAAGTAAATTTGTAGCATTGAAAAAAATTTAAACATCGTCTTACATGAAGAAATCTTACCTTCCGTGAACACGTGGTTGCAGAAAAATGTGTTCTGAAAGGTGTTCTGTCATTCAGGGGGGGGGGGCATTGTGTTCTGCTGTTGGCACCCGCTCTGAACAATACTGGTAAATAGGGAAGCTAGATAACAGGGATCCATGTTGAAAATAATGAAAGATCAAGGAAGAAAAGTGAAACGGATTTTATTCAAAATGGCAGAAGACGAATTTTTTTCAAAATTCGAGCATTTTGAAATTGATTAATAGAGTGTGCGATCTTCTCGCGTTGATAATTTTTTAATGCGAGAAAAGAAAAAAATAAGCGAGATTCTCGCGCTGTAGTGAAAACACTGACATGACATAACATAACATAACATGACATGACATAATTCATTCGCCAGTACTTTCACCAAAATGCAATTTTATCACACTTGCTAAGTTGGCGTATACCTAGAGCGGGCCCTGGTAGTATTACTAATAAGTAAGCGTGCATGAACGTTCATGACATTTAATAGCATTTTAATAATTTAAAAGCACTCTGTTATAATTAGAAATATTGCAATCCATTAGAGCTCGATATAAGCCAGTTCAACAGTATTTTATATTTGGAATGATCTTTCAAGAATATAAATGTAAAAGCACCACCTATATAATTATAAATGAATAATTGCATTAAAACCACATAATTATGAATTCTTTTAATTACACATTACAAATACAATTATTACAATCTCGAATAATTATTACAATCTATCTGTATTAAGAAAAACATTTTTAACAATTCAAAATAAAGTTTTAAACACCATAATTATTCAAACATTATAAAAAACAGGAACTATATAATCACTCTCTGACTTCCACTTACTGAGATTTCAAACTTTTTGTGACACCGATTAAAAACTCCTCTATTAAGCTACATTAAATGCTGGGTGATTCGTAATCATTGCCCTTAATATACTTTTTTTACAGTCTTTGTCAAAAATGGAATAAAAATATACACGAATTAGTAGGCACAAATTAATGTTCTAGCCAAGCAAAATAAGAACAAATTATTACCGAGGAAGTCATCTCGGATTCCTAAAGAAAAATGAGAAGATATGAAAGGTGATTATTAGAAACAAGGTTCACCAGACAATCAAACTTGTTTTGATGTTTTTCATTCTACCTTCCTAGCATTGTTTTTTTCTTCTCCATAATTCAATAATTATTTATAACCCTTGATGCATACCTTTTTGATAAAAATTTTAAAAAATATACATTAAGAGCAATGTTATGGAATAATATGTGTGTACTTAACTAATTGCATTTCAAAATGTTATAGGTTCGCATAATGTCTCAGTTGGTTTTTGCTGAGGCTAACCAAGACTATACTCTCTTGTGGATGTTATGATTTAAAGATTATCATATTATTTATATATGATTATGATTTAAAGATTATTATTATTATTTATATATGATTAAAGATTAGGATTTAAAGATTATTGTTATTATTTATATATGATAAAAGATTAGGATTTAAAGATTATCATATTATATATATATTAAAGATTATCATAGATATTTCTAATGCCAGCTGAATGAGTAGTAGAAATATTTTACACAATATATTTAGTTTTTTTAGTCTTACTATATGTGTTATTACCACCATTCTGTTGACCTTTCATCATAGGAATTGAAAAGAATGGGTGAATCGCATAAATTTTCAAAAATTGATTTAAAAATCGAAGCAATTTTTGTTTGTTTACATTCTCACGAAAAATCTCTGGAAAAATCACTACAGCAAAAATCAATAGTTTCCAAATACTTTATAGTACATCCATAGTACTTATCCTTAAATAGTTTAAAAAAAGGATAAAAAAAAAAAAGACTTAAAACATGCACAATTAAACCTATAGATCAAAGACAAAATTCTTACATATCTTTTAAATGCTCAAAGTTTTATTGACATTTAATTTTGTAAATTGAATGAATGAGCCTTTATTGGCTAGATGCCATCTCTGTTTGGCTCTCCAAGAACCTTCTGCATGCCATTAAGAAACTTTTTGACGTTTCGTACAGCGTTCTAAATCATGTGTTTCGCGATTTTCTCTCTCTGTTGATTCCAAAGAAGCTTTATTACCACATCTGTAGGCTAAAGTGAGATTTATCATATCAATTTTAGATAAATATGTTGCCAATGTTTTAATTGTATCACTGTTTAAAGTTACTTTAAATTTGTCTAAAGAAGAATCGGATATCTGCTGCCAAGTGTAAATTTTCTCATTACTTAATACTTCTAATATGCACCTTTTTTTCAAAGAAGCAATGATAAGATCTTCACAATAAGGATATTGATTAAATTTTGATAAAACTTTATCAGTAAGAGATGTCTTTAAATCATCTTCATTCATTTTCGCAGTACTGCATCTCTCATTTATATACGAAAATAGAGTATAATTTTTACTTATCCTTTCTCCCCTCATCGCATTTAATTCTTTTAAGCAACCCTGTTTGTATGCAACCAACTCGTCATAGTATTCTAAATGCTCACAAAATTTCAAATTCAACAAAGAAGAATAGGTACTAAAATCAGTCAAGTTTGGTTCTAGTTCAGCATTTGATATTCTTTTGATGAGAATATACTGTAACAAAAGTTTCGCTACAGGCATGTTTTTGTCTAAAAATCTTGCACAGTCATTAGCATTAGCCCCAAACTCAAGTAGCATAATTATGGAACTTAAAGGTACACAGGGGTTCATTAGAGCTTCTCTTAGAATACTAGTATTTTCATTATCAACTGCATTCACATCTGCTCCATATGATAGTAATAGATGAATTGTGCGCTCTTGAAAATCTTCGTGCATCGCTTCCAGCAAATCATGTAAAGGAGTACGATTACGGCTTTCTCTAGGATTAACTCTTGATCCATGTTCAATTAGACGTTTCATCACACGATATTGATTTTTTGAAGACTCCATTCTAACTATGGAAATCGGTTGTGCAAATTGGTCAAGCTAAAATAAATTAACATAGTAAGATGAAAACAAAATGTATATGCGCACACAATCCACAAGTATCTGCAAGCTCATACCATTTTTGATAATAGAATAATTTTATTATATGGGAAGATTTCCAAATCCTGATCTGAGGCAGAATAATTGCCAAGTCTTGGCAGCGACTCCGCGAAAAACTTTTAAAAAAAAACATCGCAGAAAGGAACCAACTTGAAAAGTATAAAGTTGTAGTCTACCCCCTCAAACATCTACATGTTTTTTTTAAAAAAGTTTTGCCAATTTAAAATCCCTTTGGCACCTTGGCAATTGTAGTCAGCGCGACAGATCAAGATACGGAAATAACACCACATTAAGAACATTAGAGAAAGATTAATATTACACCTTTTGAGTTGGTCCCCTTTTGCAATGTTTCTTCTTTCGTTCTTGTTTCTTGAGCGCCGCTGCCTGGAAAGTGCCAATACGTAACGATTATTCTGTCACAGATTATGAAAATCTCCCCCTGCATTCATATAAAGTAATTATATTAAGTATCGGTCGCCAACAATGGGATCGCTAATCTTTGGTTTTTTGGGCTAAAGTGTCAGTAATATCTTTTCTCTTTGGGAGCAGCCTGCACACAACTAAACACTGACTTTCTTCTACCTTGCTACCAATGATATTTTCTCTCCCCCCCCCCACTGCAATTTTTTTTTGCACACGGATACTTTTTATCATATTGCAAAAAAAGAAGTTTGAAAAAGTGTCCCCAAACTTGGAGAATCACCTTCAATGTATCCGCTCGCGACGTGCGCCTATATTATCTATGATCACTAAATTGAGTTGTTACTCACTCGAATGCATTAAAAGAAATATCTATTCTCATGATAAATGTATATCTCAATACTTAGTAGTACATAAATATTAAAAAATTTACAATAATTTTAAAATTACATTATTATTAGATTTGTGGCATAAAATTCACCACACACCAAAATTGTAAAAGTGATTAAAATTCCACATGGGCAAAAAAAAAAAAAAAGAACACTGTGAAAAATGATGAGTTAATTTAAGATTATTTAGCATTAAAATTTAAGCATTCTATTTTTACAAATGAAGATTAAATTAACAGTGTCAGGGGTAATTGTGAGCCTAATTCAAAATTCCGGAAAATTTCCAGAGTTTTTACTGATACGAAATTTATATTAATCATGAATATGCTTATAAAGTATCTCCCTGGCTCTCCCTTACAAACAAATAAAATAAACTGTGTTTTTTAGTTCCACCTATGAAAATTTGATTTCCGGAAACTTCCGGATCACTGTTAGCGAAAAATCCGATTTTTTCCAAAGCACAATCATCCCTGCAGTGTTGTAAAATCACATGTGTTATCTATATGCAGAAAAAAAAATTTAATACATTGTCCATTAATGTTAAAAATATAATATTAGAACTCAAATTTTACAATCTTAAATTAGAATTTTGCACCTTAAATTAATTTTGCAATCTTAAATTAGAATTTGATAGTGTATTTAATAATACGTTTCATAACACCAAAAGTGTAATAATGATTAAAATCCATCAGGAATTACAGAATTTTTCATTCCTACTTTTTAAAAAATCGTACATCATATCTGCCATTCCCCCTTCAATTACAGGGACAGCCAAAGAAACGGAATAATGCACCTGTTTTTCAATTCCTTCGTTCTGAATGGGGTGTGAGGAGGGGGGAGAACATGAATTCTTTTTATTCTTCAGCGTCTGTCTCTGCTTGCTAATTCATGTTCAACTGGAGTGTAAGAGAAATAAAATCGGCCAGCATAAAGATGAAAAAGATTGTGATACGCGTGTTTTTCTTTCTGATTTCGATTAATATTTTAGCAAAATCATGAAACCCAAGTTAAACTCTAAATTAGATAGTATTAATGTGTGCCAGAATCACGGTGACATTGTTGCAGTACGGTAGAGAGTTTTTGCTGAAATATGCTCGTTATTTTTCTCTTCTAATTTGACAATCAAAAATTAACTCATGATTAATTATTATTATTAGTTAATTTTACGTTTTTTTTAGAAATTAATTATTATTAATTAATTTTAATAAAAAATTAAGAATAATGAAGTATCCTTTCTCTAGATAATTTTGAATGATTTTCTTTCCATCCAGAATTATATTTATACGAAGTCTTTCTGGTACATAAAATTGTAAAGAAATGCTTGCGATTTTTCCATTTTCATTTGCTAACAATAAAAAATGAAGTAAAAAAAAAAATTTTTTTTTGCAGAAATTTTTGAAAGATATCTAACTTGAACTAGTTTCAAAAGATGCTTTTCTCACCCATCATAGTGGGAAGAAATGCTCCTGATTTTTCTATTCTTATTTGAGAAAAAAAAAAAAAACATAATGATTCAGCTACAATTTCAATAAGATAATATAAAAAAAATGAAATCGCGAAAGTTTAAAAGATAGTTTGCTCAAGAAATCTGGTTCTTTCTTTCAATTTTTTAAAAACAACTGTTGTTCATTTAAATAAAAATTTGACTGGATTGACTTAATAAAAATCTCTATACTGTACATTTAATTAAAAAAAAAATTTTGATTTCAGATTTTTTGCAAAATAATTAATTAGTAAATGTGCTTATCCCATCGGAATAAAATATGCGTAGTGTGTTGATAATTTTTTTCGAAAATTGCTACGAATTTTTGCCTCTTTTTTTTCAATCTAATTTTTTTTAAATTAATACTCTCGAGATTTTTTTTTTTTTTAATATTATTATTACGGCACGCTAAAAGTTAAAATCGCTGATTCTATATCTTGGTCGAGCTAGGTTTGCGCTCGTTAGTCTGTGCGTCTTTTAATCGTTCGTTAGAGAGCTATTGCTAGGAATCTTCCCTATTTAGAAAAAAAAAAAAAAAATATCCCGATGTTTTTTCATGCAGTTGAAAAAAAACTTGAATCACCAACCACAAAACTCAAATTACTTATTTGTTTTATTACTTTTAATGTGACAATTTCGTCGTTTTTTTTTTTGTTTTCTTTTTTTTCTTTTTTAATTGCTGGTGCTACCGATTTCCGTGGGGTTTTAAAATCCCGGTTATTTATAGCTTCATATTATTGCTACACGTGAAATTTGAATCACTTTTTGATGTGTTGAATTTTTGCCGATATTATTAATAATCCATGTCGTGTTTTCGATCTCGTTTTCGGCGATAATTGTTATTGTCTTGGGGTTTTTAAATATCCTATTATACTTCTGAAAATATGGGGAATTTTAATCGCACATTTCAATATTTAATGATTATCGTTACGATTCGATCGATTTTTCTGCTGTTTTTAAAATCCGATATTTTTTATTACAACTACCGAATCTTGAAACAAATCAATTGATTTAGTATCTCGTTTTTGAAGAGTGACTTGAGTAACTTCGCCGTCGATCTTTTCTCGATAGTTAGTACTACAGATTTCATAATTTTGTGTTGATAATTTACAAAATGCGGAAAAGGAAATAATTTTGTGTTGATTATTTACAAAATGCGGAAAAGGAAATAATTTTGTGTTGATAATTTACAAAATGCGGAAAAGGAAATAATTTATGCGTTTTCTCCCCCTACACATTGCGAGAATTTCGCCCATAATTTTAGAATGACAATTATATATCTAATTTTAAAAAAATTATTTGCAATTTTATTTTATTCTAATATTTGTTTTGTAAATACAACGTTTTTATTACGCTAAATTAGTACTAATTTGTATATCTGTTTTTAAAAGTATTTTGCAGAAACTCAGAAAAAATTCTGCCACAGGGTTAATAATAGTTGCATTATAAATTAATAATAATTTTAAAATTGAATAAATGATAGAACAATAACGTAATCTAAATTTCTTTAACATAAAGAAAAATTTCCTTCGCAAAATAACTCTTAAAAAGAATTTTATGAAATTAATGTATTTTTAATTTTATAAAATAATAGTTTCTAATATAAGAATATTTTATTTTGAAAATGCAAATTTGGCAAAAACAATTTTTTGATAAACCTATTCGATTCGATATCCTATTGCGATATATTTCTATAAAATATATTCGAATAAAATTCTTAGCTGAATTTTATAAAAATATATTGTTTATACAAATTACTCATGCATCATAATTGTATTGTTAAAGCCTCTTTAAAAGTAAAATATGTCTTACTTGAATTTTTAATTTTTTTCAGCAATTTTATTTTTAATTACTGTTTCTAAAATTTAAATTGATTATGTAGGGAAATAGATATTTTTTTATTTAAATTATTTTTCATGAAAATTTGGTTTTCAACACTCCTATTTTTTTTTTTTTTTNTTTTTTTTTTTTTTTTTTTTTTTTTTTTTTAATCTTCCTATTTCCTGAAAATTTCGGCTGCTGTCCCTGCATGTTACACTTTTACATGGATTAAAAGAGATATCTATACACAGGATAAATTAAAATAAGAAAAATACACTGCAGATAATATTAAAAATAAATTTTATAATTTAAAATAGAATTGAGAAATAAAATTTATCATTATAACACCAAAGATGTTAAAGCGATTAAAATTCCGTCTGGATTAAAGGAATGCAGAAAATCCCACTCAATAAATTGAATTAATACTTCTTCCATTTCCATACCAAAAATAATATATTTCAAATTAACATTAATACCAGTTATATATTAATTTTAACGAAATAAAAATAGTAAAATAAGAAAAAAAACTATTTTAACACCACGTGTGTTACGAAAAAAAAAATAAAGGTTCAATATATTTTGTTACATTACTATATAACATTAACTACATTAAAAATTAAAGATAAGAACTATCAAAATAATTTTACAATCCAGATTAAATCTGATATATGTTAAAATTCCACTTACTAAATTTAATGCAGACTATATTTTCAACTTTTTTTCCCGCTTTCTTAACTCTTCACTGATACGTAATGAAATGAATAAATATTTCTTAGTGGCTACGGGGCGGGGTTATGGGACTATCACACCAATGCGCATGCGTGTTC